TTATCTCAGTGGAAAAGTCTTGACATCCACTTACATGCATGTGGAAGTAGCAGCGGCTCTTTCACACCACCAGCTGACCACCGTAGCCAAGTTATTTGGAAATATGTGGATATCTATGTTAATCTATCTGTGGTATCAGACGAGGTGTGTAATCAGATTAATAACCTGTAATATTAAACATTTGAAAATGTGGTGTCAAATCTCTAAAGATCTGTTAACAGGTTGGTCAGCGCTGTGTGTGGGGACGTTGGTGGAAACATTTTGTGTGGACCTGCCAGAATAAATGAAACGTACTGAGGTGAGAAATCAGCATTACAGAAGTTGTCACCTGGCAAAGCATCTTCAATAAGTTTGTTTGAGTTATTGACATGTCTATGAGTTTGTCAGCACAGTCACAGCAGCCACAGCAGCAGGACCGCAGCTGTAACCTGTTTAGTGTCAGTAATCCTTCAAATAAGAATCGTGTTGTTATCCTCGTGTTTGCCTTCTTTCTATTTCTCAGCCTTTTTCTCTACAAAGACGTCTGAGAGAAGCACGCTGCCTTCCAAGTGCTACACTGTACATTTGCAGTGATTGGTGACTCAAGGCTCGACGATTTGTGCTCGCTGCCAGCAGCACGAACACCTCGCCTTCATGGGCAGAGCCGTTAAAGCAAGGCAGCAGATCGTCCTGAGGGACCAGCTTTGCTCCAGTCAGTCCGTCACGAGCCGGCTGCTTGGATGTCGGCTGCTTGGCTTTTGTTCCTCTTCCAGCTGCACGCCACCGAAATACCATCAGCTTAATTACACAAAAACCCTCATCTACACAATGAAAGCTGCTCTACAGACCGTATGAAAACATTCTGATAAAAGTGTCTTCTTTTAATCTGAAAGGGGAAAAAAATGCAGGAAATATGCAAATACCTGACATGCTAACGTTTGATATCCTAAACACAGTTTAGCTGCTGTTGGAGACTCTGGTTAACAAACGTATTTGTACTGACAGTACTGGTCATTTATTTTTTTTATTATTCATCAACTTTTGTTTCTGAAATTAATTTCTTGATTATTTGTGGCATCGTGGAGAAGTCCAGCCAGCTCAAACTCAGATATAAAAACACATCAAGTTCATGTCTAATAAACACCAACATCAGTTTTATTCTCATTAAGAGAACCACACCAGTTTAATAACCTCATTAAAATGTTCCCCTGCACTGACTGTTAGCTCTGGTGTCCCACAGTGACACCAGCAGGTTCTCCATCGATCCCAGTTTGATTTTCCTGCCCCCTGATGCTCATTACACCTCTTATCTCTTAAACTGTCTCAGACGACCGTTTAACTCCCCGCTCTTACATTTAACTGATGTTAGAGGACCAGCTCTGATATGTCGTTATGAGTGTATCACTACTGTGGCTCCACAGTGTTTTACACGTTTGGCTAAGAAGCAAAAGATCCCCAGTTTACTCCAGGATCACTCCAAGGAGGGACAAATATATTGGGACTTGTGTCAAGCAGGACTCTGTGATCAGAACTTTGAAGCATCTTTTTCAGAAAGCCCATGAGCACAGGAAACGTTCTTGTAGTGACTGTTGACTCGTGGCAGCTAAACTCAGCTAAAGCAGGTCCCAGCTGTCAAATTCACTCCAAACGTCGATCGATCTGAGATGTTAGAATGAAGCTGTGCTGACTCATCTCTGGCCTCTGGAGCAGCAGGAGCTGCTGCACTGGGGAATGATGGCACGCTGTGCAGCACAGCCATGATGCTGTCGCTTTGAACACTGACACCAGGTCTGTGCAGATCCCTCATGTACAGCTGTGTTGCAGATGAGTTGCATTTGCAGTGAACTCGGTTGATTGCAATGTGCTTGCAGTCTATCTTCATTTATATTTTAGGCGGCAGTTATTTGGAGACACACTGACGACCACAACACAACCAGTGAGTGCAATCAGCTGGCATGTGCTCACCAGGAGTTTGGGGTGTTGCACTTTTGGTCTCTGACAACCAAAAGCTCAAAGCATTCACGGATGTTTCCCTGTCAAAGAGTTTCTGGTTTCATGTCTTTAGTCAATTTAGTAAGAAATGAG